TCATTCAAAATGTACGTTTAAAAAGCGAAACTATAAAAACTTTTTTGGGTATTCGTTAGGCGTTGCTATACTCAGCTCGACGAGCTCTATCGATTGGCTAACTCAGATTTTAATTTGGGGGTGTTCGTGGGTGTTCGCGTCTTTTAGCAATACCCAGCACATATTGGTTTTAGACGAAGTGAAAAGCCATCACAAATGCTTGGCTATGGAATATATTTCGCTAGGTCAATTAATAATACATTACTAAAAGCACGATTTGGAGGAGCGATTATATGTGCTCAAGTCAGAATGGAAAATGTGTTAGAGGTAACAAAAAACGAATTACACAATGTATCAAATTCTAAACAATGGTGGAATACATATGATACCGTTTACTATAATCATGAATCTCCTAATAAAGATGAATTTTGTATTAATGATCCTGAACAAATACTATGCTAAGTCAAGAAAATGATTCAAAACCAAAGTCATTTGGGCTTGACACCGAATTTAATAATACAACTAGGGGTGCCACTTTACTTTTACTAATTATTACATTACCTGGTAAAAGTAATAAACGTTTGTTACTTATTACCGGTAAAAAGGTAATAAATCTTGTTGTTTTATTACTTATTACTTCTGTTATTGTATATATAGTTTATAGCACTTCTTATCATTTTTTCTGAAATAAAATTTTTCTATAAGAATTTCATCTCGTTTTTAATCGTATTTTAGAGGAGATATATGAATGAGTTTTTTCAAACACAGATTAGGAACATTACATGTGGTTTTTATTATGGCACTTTCAAACTAAAATTTTGAATCATTGCGAAAATTGCTGAAATTTTAATGAAAACTGAGCGCGACTCTTTGAAAAGTAACTTTTTTTTTGGAATGTTACATGAAGAAGGTACACGCACCATTGTAGTTATAGCAGAGCAAAAAGTAATGAAATCAATGAATGGTGATAGTGGTAAATGGCATGATTTCAAATCATGCCATTTATCACTATTGCTTAAATGAAGATAACGTTAGGGAAGAGCCACATAAATCTCTTGCGTAGCGAACGAATTAACAGAGAAAACTCTTAGGTCCTATAGTATAAAAAACGTTCTCAAAGGCTAAGTAAATTTAAAGCAGGTAGTAAAAGTTATTTACTCTTATGATACCTGCTCTCATCTATATTGTAGACTTGAGTAGTAAGAATGGTTTCTAGCCTTTAAACTGGATTTTGTTTGAAGTAAATAATATTGGTTTACTAACACTTGCTCAGCACCTGTTCCTTATGAGAAACTGACAAAGGTTTTTAACGGTATCTCTATACAGTTACGACATACAGTATACAATATAACAGTATACCTTTACAATCGATAGGAGGATAAATAACCGCCTCTAAAGGTCACCGAAGTATTCTGATGACTTTCGTCGTATGTATTTTCAACCTAGATGAGCGATCCGCTAGAGAACTGTAGACCCGAGAATTTTACTTGATCTGTCATAACTGGTCTCGTGGAAATGAACTTAATATCATGTAAAGCCTGATAGATGTTAAAGATCTAACAATTCGGAAAAATTTTAAGAGTTCTGATGCTCTTAGCTCTTTTGTAAACAGTCTTTTAAGATTTCTTGATTGTTTTTGTACTTTTAGATTATGTTGTGACAGCTGTCAAACTCGGCTAAATTTGAGCTGCTTCAGACGCACACTCTACAAAAAGCGTAGTTTAAAAAACCTTAAAGGGTTTAGGAAAATGAAACCATTCAGCACGAATAAGGGTTTAGGAGTTTACATAAAAAAGCGATTAGGAGAGGGTTTAGCAGCTCTCCAAAATCCTTATTCGTTCTGAATAGTTTCATTTTCTACACCCTTATAAAGCGTTTAGAAGAGGTGTAGACACGAGTAAAGTTACTAAACCTTCTCCTATGAAACTATACAGAACAAGAAACAGTTCAGGAGAGTTACTAAGCCATACCTAAATTTATAATAGGTAATGATACTTGCAATTGGAAATGTATGCTGAAATGTTTCGCATCTCATGTCTTTATTTTCTTCGAATTTAAAAGTCTACTATAAGATTTTGAAAAAGTTCGAGATATTTGTGCAAGCTCTAGAGATAGAGATCGATCAAACTCAGCTAAAAAAGCTTTCGTATGTTCTATCAATTAATCTAGTTTCTATAGAATACTGTCTTTTCCTCAACAGCAAAACCAAATAACGTAAAATAATCACCCGGAAAAAACAGCATAGACACACAAATACGTTGAACGGGAAAAAACATAATATAATCTTAAGTCTGTGTTTTTTCTCAATTGATGTTTACTTTGTAAAGGTCTCGAAATAAAAGTGCACAAAAGTGAGAAAGTGTTTTTTACAACCATTGTGAGTATCCTCGGTGTAAGATCGCTTTGCTGTTAGTAACTCTCAGAATGTAATAAAGATCAGTTCGGTCCTGTTTGACGCACGGATGATTGGAGCTCAAGCATTCCGCACAGTGGGCAACTAAGCGGACATTAGGCCAAAAAGTCGATTTTATCTATCTTGAAATACAAATAGTGCAAAATGTAGCTCTTGAAATTCTCTATCGAATGGTGTATAAACGTCTATTG